GTTTTGTTAGTGAGGAAAAAGAAGAGACTGGAAATGGAGTCGTCAGTTGGTAGTCTCTGCCAGGGAGGAGGTGGGGATGGGAATGCTGCCGCAAGGGATCTTGTGTTTGTGTCCGGGAAGAGTGGAACTGCTGAGAACATTTGGACCCTAGATGGAGGCTGAAGGAACCGCAGCCTCCAGAATCCTGGCTGTGTGCCCTGGGGCTCTGCTCTTTGGGTGCCATAGCTTTTCTCCGAGCCGTTCCTTCTGTCCACTTTCACCAGCTGCTTCCTGACCCCCGTCTGCCTTTTGTCTGAGAAGTCTTGCTCCATTCACCTCCGCGCAGCCATCCGCCTCCTCCCCACTGGTAACCTCTAGTTTCTTGTGTGTCCTTTCCTTGGTTTCTTTATGCAAATACGAGCAAATTTGAATATAGGTTCTTAGTTCTCCCTTTCTTACAATATAAAGGTTTAGACTTTTATAGCTGTGTCGGATTATTTTGTGTGCATGTGCCTGAGTTTATTTACCCTGTCTCCTGTAGGTAGTATTGCTTCCGATTCTCTAACACTCATTACTCTTCAACAAAGAGACAGCAGGCCTCAGGCTTATAGCCCTCAGCAGGTGAAGGTAGTTGATGTTTTTTACGGTTAACTTTTTTTTTTTGAGTTGGAGTCTCACTCTATCGCCCAGACTGGAGTGCAGTGGCCACTCCCGGCCCCCGCAGCCTCGACCCCCTGGGCTCTGGGCGATACTTCCGCCTCAGCCTTCCGAGTAGCCTGAACTACAGGCGTGCGCTACCACGCCTGGCTAATTTTTGATTTATTGTGGAGATGAGGTCTCGCCAAGTTGCCCAGGTGGGTCTCGAACCGGCAGGCTCAGGCAATCCACTTACCTCAGCCTCTCAAGGCGCAGGATTACAGGCTGAGCCACCGAGCCCGGCGGTTAACTTCTATTTATAGAATGGATACTGGTTTTCCATTTTCAGTTGTGTAAAGCTTCTCTGTTAGGTATCTTTGGTCAATATCCACTGTTGGTTAATTTTAAGAAGTATATTAGATAATGTCACAGATATGGAAAACATTGTGAAGATGGGATATGCGTGACTGACTGTATTCGTTACCTAATGCTATATAACAAACTATCCCAAAATTTAACAGCTTAAAATAAACATTTGAATGTCTCATAATTACTGTCAGCTGCTACAGGATACACTGACCAGAACTTGATCATGTGGCCACTCCTGGATACAAATGAGGTTGGAAAATGAGATCTTTATTGTGGATAGCCTTGAGCCCAAGGTCTAAATAGAGTGTATTACTGTTTACAAGGGCAAGAACTGATGTTGGGGACAAGTGACACCAGGAAACAGATAGGAGCAGTGGTTTCCCTTTAAAGGGTGCCTCATCAGGCAGTCCCCACCCACTCCCACTGAGAAAGCTTTTATTTAATTCATTAAAAAAAACTTTTAAAAAATCTTATTTTCAGCTGGACACAGTGACTCACACCTGTAATTCCAGCACTTTGGAAGGCAGAGGTGAGAGGATTGCCTGAGCTCAGAGGTTTGAGCCTGGGCAACTTGGCAAGACTTCATCTCTATAGTAAATTAAAAAATTAGCTGGGCGTGGTGGCACGCACTGATAGTTCCAGCTACTTGGAAGGCTGAGGCAGAAGGATCACCTTGAACCCAACAGGTTGAGGTTGCGGTGACTGTGAGTGTGCCACTACATTCTAGCCTGGGCGACAAAGTGAGACTCCAACTCCAAAAAAAAAAAAAAAAAATCTTAAATTGGGGTAAATTACAATAATATGAAATCTACCATCTTAACTATCTTTTAGTGTATGATTCGGTAGCAGGACACTGTCAAGTATATTCACACTGTTGTACACCCAGTCTCCATCTCCAGAACTTTTCATCTTGTAAAACAGAAACTCTGTCCCCACTGAACAATTCCCTATTTCCCCTTCTCCCTCACTCGTGGCAACCGTCATCGTCATCGTATGTTTTATGAATTTGACTTCTCTAAGTACATTGTGTCAGTGGAATCAGTATTTGTGTCTTTGTGACAGGCTTATTTCACTTACCATAATGTCCCCCAAGGTTCATCCATGTTGTTGCATGTGTCAGAATTTCTTTCCTTTTTAGAACAAAATAGCAGCCGGGCTCGGTGGCTCAGCCTGTAATCCCGTGCCTTGGGAGGCTGAGATGAGTGAATTGCCTGAGTCGGCGGGTTTGAGACCCGCCCGGGCAACTTGGCAAGACCTCATCTCTACAATAAATCAAAAAATCAGCCGGGCGTGGAAGCACATGCCTGTAATTCTGGCTACTTGGAAGGCTGAGGGGGAAGGATCGCCGGAGCCCAGCAGGTCGAGGCTGCGGTGGCCGGGAGCGGCCACTGCACTCCAGTCTGGGCGACAGAGTGAGACTCCAACTCAAAAAAAACCCAAAAACAAACAAACAAAACAAAACAAAATAAAATTCCATTGTCTGTCTGTGCCACATTTTGATTATCCATTTATCTGCCAATGGATACCTCCACCCTTTGGCTGTTGTGAATTATTCTGCTGTGAACCAGGGTGTGCAAATATCTCAGCAAGACCCTGCTTTCAATTCTTGGGGGTATATATGCATAAGTGAAATTGCTGGATCATGTGGTAATTCTATTTTTCAGTTTTTGAGGGACTGTCATGTTTTCCATAGCGGCTGTACCATTTTACATTCCCAGCAGTACACCCGGGTTCATTTCTTCATATTCTTTCACACACTGCACACTGTTATTTCGTTTTTTGTTTTTTTGTTTTTGTTTTGTTTTGGTTTGAGTTGGAGTCTGACTCTGTTGCCCAGACTGGAGTGCAGTGGCCGCTCCCGGCCCCCGCAGCCTCGACCTGCTGGGCTCCGCCGATCCTTCCGCCTCAGCCTTCCGAGTAGCCGGAATCACAGGCACGCGCTACCACGCCCGGCTGATTTTTTGATTTATTGTAGAGATGAGGTCTCGCTGCCCAGGCGGGTCTCGAACCCGCGGGCTCAGGCAATCCACTCACCTCAGCCTCCCAAAGGCGCTGGGATTACAGGCTGAGCCACCGAGCCTGGTTTGTTTTTGTTTTTGAGTTGGAGTCTCACTCTGTCACCCAGGCAGGAGTATAGTGGCACGCTCAAGGCCACCGCAGCCTCGACCAGCTGTGTTCAGGTGATCCTTCCCCCTCAGCCTTCCAAGTAGCTGCAACTACTGGCGTGTGCTATCATGCCCAACTTACTTTTTGATTTATTGTAGAGACAAGGTCTCACCAAATTGAGCAGGCTGGTCTTGAACCCCTGAGCTCAGTCCATCCTCTTGCCTCAGCCTCCCAAAGTGCTGGGATTATAGGTTTGTGCCCCTGCGCCTGGCCTTTTTTTTTCTTTTTTTTTTTTTTTTTAAATAATCACCATTCTGATGTTTGTGAGGTAATATTTTATTGTGGATTTGATTAGAGATACCGAACATCTTTTCCTATACTTGTTGGCCATTTGTATTATCATCTTTGGAGAAATATCTATTCGAGTCCTTTGCCTATTTTTGAACCAGGTTTTTTTTTTTAATTGCTGTTGTTGAGTTGTTTACAAACTTGTTAACAGGTGTTTTCAAATATATGCAAAAAATAGAGTTGTTTAGCTGGGCACAGTGGCTCAAGCCTATAATCCCAGCACTTTGGGAGACTGAGGTGAAAGGATTGCCTGAGTTCAGGGGTTCGAGATCAGCCTGGGCAGCTTGGCGAGACCTCGTCTCTACAATTAAAAAAAAATTAAAAAAAAAAAGCCATGTGTGGTGGCTTATGCCTGTACTTGCAGATACTCGGAAGGCTGAGGTGGAAGGATACCTGAACCCAGCAGGTAGAGGCTGTGGTGGCTATGAGTGTGCCACTGCACTCCAGCCTGGGCGACAGAGTGAGACTCCAACTAAAAATAAAAATAAAAAAAATAGTTGTTTAATGAATCTTCACGTATCTGTCATTTAGTTTCTCCAGCACTTCAGCAATCTTTGTCACTGCCCCATCTACAGCTCTTAAGTTTTTTGTCCTGCAGTATTTTAAAGTAAATCTAGGCATTGGATATTTCAGAATGGCTTTCTAACAGAAGACTTTTTTTTTTTTTTGAGTTGGAGTCTCACTCTTTGTCGCCCGGGCTGGAATGCAGTGGCACACTCACAGCCACCGCAGCCTTGACCTGCTTGGCTCAGGTGATCCTTCTGCCTCAGCCTTCCAAGTAGCTGGAACTATAGGCATGCACCACCATTCCTGACTAATTTTTTGATTTATTGTAGAGACGAGGTCTCACCAAGCTGCCCAGGCTGGTCTCAAAGCCCCAGACTCAGGCAATCCTCTTGCCTCGGCCTCCGAAAGTGCTGGTATTACAGACTGAGCCACTGCGCCCAGCCAGAAGACTATTTTAGAAGCATAAACTAATACAGTTATCACACCTAGCAAAATTAATATCTTAACAGTTATCTAGTACCCAGTTCATGGTTCAGTTCTCCCCAGTTGTTCTAAAATGTCTTTTTACTGAATGGTTTGTTGCAGACAAAGCCCACGACCTGCTTTTGGGTTGACGTTTTTAAAATCTTTCTTAATTTATAACCCTACTCCCTATGTTACTTGGTTATGGAAGAAACACTTACTTGAGTGTATGATCTTCCATACTGTAGATGTCCGATGTTATTAACCGCTCCTTTGGGTTCATGCAGAGAAACAGATTGGGGTTGGAGGGGCTTGTGGGCAGAGAAGCCTGGAAGAAGGCTGCTGCCAAAGCCCAGCCTGGAGAGGAAAAAGGCTGAATAGGAGGGGCAGTGGAAGTGGGAGAGGTGGGCTGAAGCTGGATGTTTAAAAGGTGGAGCCGAAGAGAGGGCTGTGTGTATGAGGTAGAGTTTAGGCGGGAGGCCGGGGAGACACAGGCTTGGAACCCAAGGACCCCCCCGCCCTGTATGGGTATCCTCAGGGAGGAATGGTCTGGACCTGACAGCACTGACTCAGCCATATTGCCCCCTATGCAGGTTCCCACTGAAGGATGGTCCCCGGTTGCAGGCCTGGCTGCGGCACATGGGTCGTGAGCACTGGGTGCCCAGCTGCCACCAGCACTTGTGCAGTGAGCACTTCACGCCCTCCTGCTTCCAGTGGCGCTGGGGTGTGCGTTACCTGCGACCTGACGCGGTACCCTCCATCTTCTCCCGGGTGCCACCCACCAAGGTGAGCTCTGGGATGTCACACTGCTAGAGTCTAATCTCCCAGCTGTCCCTTCCTAAGGGAAGTCCCTCCTTGAGTCTGACTCGCAGCCCTCCCTTCCTGACAGAAGTTCCTCCCTGAAGTCTGGCCTTACCTGAGGGAGGTTCTCCTTGGAGACTGGCCCTCCAACCCCTACCTCCTGAGGAAGTCCCCCATGGAGTCGGGCCCTGATGTCCCCACCCTATGCCTTGTCTTCCAGAGCCAGCGGAGTATCCAAGGTGCAGACAAGCCAGTTGCGCCGCCTCCTCCACAGGCAGCCACAACCCTGACTCCGGGCCCCGCCATCGCAGCCTCTGGCCCAGTGCACCTAGTGGTGCTGGGTCCTGCCTCGGGGAGCCCCACGACTGCAGCCACTTTCCTTCTGACCCCTCTTCCCCCTCCGCCTGCTCCTGAGCGGCCGCGGCCTGAAGTCCCAGCCTTGCAGGCCCGGGCCAGGCTGGGTGCAGCGCTGGGAGTGCTGCAGCGGCGAGTGCAGAGGCTACAGCGACGCCAGAAGCGGCACCAGGCGCAACTGCAGGCTCTGGAACAGCTGGCACAGCAGCTGCGCAGGGAGAGGCTGCTGGCACGGGCACGGGGTCTGCAGCATGTGGTGAGAGCTGTGCCGGCTCCGAGGGGCGGCCCAGCTGGCAGCCCCGTGGGCAGCATGCCTAGCCCACAGTGTGTTTTTGTTCAAACTAGGATCCGATATTAAAAATCAGGACATTTCACCCATGTTTCCAAATTTCTGGCTTTTCTTGAAAAAATTGAGTCTGGCAGCACTAAGCAGCTACTGGTGGAGGCTGAGTCATGGTGACACCACTTACTAATATTTATATTTGAGTAGCTCTTACTCTGTGCCACAGAGTTGAGGCCAGTTTTCAGCTCACTGTGATCTTGATACTGCTATTGTCCCCATTTTCCAGATGGGAAGACCGAGCAGTCCAGTAACCAGCCCAAAGGCAGGCAGCCGATAAGCTGCAGAGCCTGGATCCAGAACCAAGAGTCTGGCTTCAGAGGAGCCTGTGCTCCCTTCTTGGAGAGCTCCCTGCCTGGCCACTGTAGAGCTTGCATGTACAGTACCAGTGGCTCCTAGGCCCCCCATTGAAAGCCCTTTTGCCCCTGTACTTTATTGCGGGATTTGTGTGTGTGTGTGTGTGTGTGTGTGTGTGTGTATAGGGGGGTTGAAGGAGGAGCAACATGCTTGTGAAATTCAAAGTTTGACCAAGCCTTTCTCCTGCTTAAAACCCCAGGGCCAAGCTTGAGGTCCCCAGCCTAGAACCCATGGCTCTCAGAGCCTTACCTGGATGAGAGAGGTATCCAGGCAGAGTTATGGATGCTAGACTCGGAGTTCAGAAGGAGCCTCCGTAGTACCTCTGTAGTTAGGGTGTCTCAAATCGACAGCCAGTGCTTTGGACATGGGCTACAGATATGATATGATTGGCCTAAGCAGTGCTTTAGATCAGGCGTGGCAGCTCAGTCGCAGTCTGTAGTCTGAGCACTTTGAGAGGCCAAGGCAGAAGGATGGCTTGAGGCAAGGAGTTAAGTCCAGCCTGGGCAACATAGTGAGACCTTTTCTCTACAAGAAATAAAATTAGCTGAGGATGGTGGCATATGCTTGTAGTCCCAATTACTCTGGAGACTGAGACGGGAGGATTGGGTGAGCCCAGGAGTTTGAGGCCTCAGTGAGCTATGATTGTGCCACCGTACTCCAGCGTGGGCGACAGAGTAAGATCCTGTCTCTAAAAACAAACAAACCAAAAAAACCAGTGCTTTAAAATAATCTCTGGCTTTCTTGAAGGCTCAGCAGATCTAGCAGCACTGGGTTCATACCCCCGGGTAATAGCACTCAGCTGGAGCTACAATGTGGCTGCCTTTGGGAGCTCTAAGATGGGGGCGCAGAAGGCCAGTCAGACAGGGACAGTGCTCAGACTCAGGCTTGGGGCTCTTCATGGAGCCTGACAGACCCCGTGGGCTGACATGTCTCTATCTGCCTCCTCTCCCCATCCGGTCCCTGCCTCCTCCTCATCCATCCCATCTTGCAACCTCCTCTCGTCTCCACATTGTTGTCCCCCCCATTTCTCTATTGTCCCACCTGTTTCCACATCAGCCTCCACTGCATCTGTGTCCCCCACATCTCTTCTGTTCCCCACGTCTGTCTTTCTGTTTCTCCCTCTTTCCCCTTCTTTCCTCTCCCAGGAATGTCTCTCTGGCTCTCACGTGTACTTCCCTGTCTCCCCATATCTCTGCCCACACTACTCTGCTTTCTGACAACCCTCCCTCCCTGTTGCTCACTATTTCTGTCTGTCTTTCTCTCCTCTTGCTCCCTTGTGTTTTCCTTCTCTACCATTTCTTCGCCTGGGATGGCCCAGCTCTCTGGACCTGAAGAATCCCAAACCTTCACCATCATCTGTGGAGGGCTGGACGTAGCTGTGGTCCTTTCCCAAGGCCCTGCACCTCCTACAGTGGATGCCAAGCCTGAGCTCCTGGATACTGGAACCTCCAGTGCATGAGGATCCGAACAGACAATGTTGAGGAACAGAAGACAGAAGATGGAAGAAGAGAGACTCGTTACACATGGGCTTGGCCCAGCCCTGCCATCCATGCCTGGGAAGTAGCAGTGCCTCCCTCAAGGGTTCCGTCACCCGCTTCTTAGGGACCCCTTGAACCTTGGGGGTGATCTGGGCCCAAGTCCCCATCGGCCCCCATTCCCCTGGGTGTCAGGCCTCTGCCATCTCCAACTTAAGTCAGTAAAACACCATCAGAGCAGAATGAGACTTGTCTGGGGAGAGTGGTGCTTGGTTCTGAAGAGCCCCTTATGCCTTTTGACAAGCCTGGTGCTGAATGGTGCTTACATTCTACTTGAGTAAAAGGTGAACTAGGAAACTAATAAACAAGATAATTTCAGACTGTGATAAGTTCTACAAAGCCTGAATTAAAATGTAATTGGAGGTGAGGGGAGGGCTCTCTAAGGTGACATTTTAGCAGACCCAGATGATGAGGAGCTGGCCTGCAGGGCACCTTGGGCCAGTGTTCCAAGGCAAGAATAGCTCCTGCAGGGGGTCTGACATCCAGCATGTGTCAGACTGAGGAGAGCAGTGTTGCTGTGGAGAAAACTATAATAGTGGGGATGGGGCTAGGGTCCAATTTTAGGGAAAGCAGAGATGAAGAGGGCAGCAGTAATTAATAGCCTAAAAAGAGGGCAGAGGGAAGTATGCAGGTGTCTGGGGGAAAAGCATCCCTGGCAGTAGAAACAGCCAGTGCAGAGGTCCTGGGTAAGGAAGTGCAAGGCGGCCAGTGTGACTGGAGTGGAGTGGACAAAGGGGAGAGGGAGGAGGCGAGACTGGAGGGATGGCAGGCACAAGTTCACGTCGGGCCTTGTGGGCTGTGGCTGAGAGCCTTGGCTTCGACCTGGGGTGAGGGGCAGCAAGCAGGCGCCTCAGAACTGAGGGCTCTGATGCAGTGGATGTTATGTGGTCCCTGTGGCTGCGAGTAGGGAGCAGAAGGGCGAGGAGCAAAAGGAAGAGGCTGAGGCCATAGTCCAGGTGGGACAAGATGAAGGATGGACCGGGATGAGGTGCGGGGGTGGGGAATGAAATTCCAGGAACGTTTTGGAGATGGAGCCTCGGGCCTGCCAGAAGGTGGAAGGCACTGGCCCTGTTCAGGCTAGGATGATTTGGGGCAGAGCAGGCGAAACAGCCATGTGAGGTCAAGCAAGGCGATGGAGCCAGGTCCTCCTGTGGAAGACACAGGTTCTGAGAGTTGGAGGGTCCAGGGGCAGATCTCGCCCCAAACACTGCTACAGCCAGGTAGCATGGCGAGTAAGAATCAGACTCTACAGACTGCCTGATTTCAAAGTTGAGCCCAAGTGCAGGACACTTTTGGACCTTTGGGCAAGTGGCTTAACCTCTCTGGGACTGAGCAAGTGTGTGAGCACGGTTCGATGACAAGCAATGATGACGATCCGGAGAGCCTTCGCAAAATCGGCCCTCGGAGACACCTTAGAGGGCTGAGCATGAAGAAGGGGCCAGGTCTCAGGTCCTAGAGAGAGAGAGGGCACCGTCACCACGCCCTGAGCCCACTGCCCTAACCGGCCTGGCAAGGCTCTGTCACAGCGGGGCTGGGTGGACCACGGGGCCTGCTTTCCCGTCCCTCCCCGCCTGCCCTGGCGTCTGCTCCATCGCTTTCCTGCATCCGAGTCTCAGGGCCTTCTCCCTCCTTCCTCTCCCTGCCGCGAGCGTCTACCCGCTTCCGCCGCTGCCTCCAGCCCCTGCATCTTCGCCAGCAGCCGCTCAAGCGCCT